TATATAGTATTCTCATTTAATTCTAAAATACTCCTCCAAGATTTCCTTTGTAGAATTTGTCTGATTTCACCGGATTACAGACTTGCAGATTGTTCCTGCCATTGTCATTTTTTTGCAGATGAAACCATCATTTACTTTGACGTTTAAGGAAGGTACTTGCCTGCTAATAAATTACATTACATGTGCTCACATTTTGACCGCCAGACAGGTCTGGAGGATTTACTATTGTTGCCAGAGCGAACAGGAAGTTGGCGTCGGGAGGAGTTCACTCCTTTGTTTAAACTGCGTCCAGAGCAGCTGTCATCGCTCTGTCATAATCAGTGTTCTTTTCTTACTTTTTCTGTAAAGTGCGCTGGCTGCAATTTGAGCGGATATCTGTGATGGTGATTCAAAAATGTTTTCGGAGTGAGGTCTTCAGATGTTGTCAGTTTACCGAGAGAAAAAGAAAGGATGGAAAGATGAACATCATGCACTTCATCAGCAACACCCTGTCGTATTTCAAACTCCCACTTTCTACTTTTCACACTCTCTCAGCTGCAGAGTACAGTCACTGTTCACAGGCTTCGCCCTCTGCAGACGGACTTTTAATTACTAAAGTGACTCAGCAGGATCCACACTTCTCATCACACACTAACACAGTTAACTCAGTCGCACAGAAACCTTAACTAGCAGAAGTTGAACTTTAAAGAGCTCCAGTCTGTAGTCCGTAACTGCTGACGTCTAACGGTGACATTACAGTGTGTAGAAACGGCTGTTGCTTTTTGCACAACAGACAGGATATAAACACTTTTCCCACTCTTCCAGCCGCCCACACTCCTTCTCGTTTCCTCTTTCTTCTTTGTTGGTTTGTCTGGTACATTTTTGAGGGCGGAGTCGTCCGGCTTTGTGTGCATAGTAAAGCTTCCACACTTTTTCGCTTGCCGTTTGAGCACAAAACACCTCTGCTTCCTGTGCAGGTGGTGAGACGAACAGAGTTGTAATGCTTGGTGACTTCATTGTTTTTTGTTTTTTTTCTTTTTTTTTCTTTTTTTTTCTTTTCGTTTTTTTAATTCATTATTCACATGTCGTGTAATGACAGCTGACCTATGGCTCTACTTGGATGACCAGCTGAATGGTTTTGGAGCGCAGCTCTTCTAACAACAGAACGCAGAATCATCCATTTTTAATTCAATCAACCATGAATGAATTAAAAATGAATATCTGAATCTTCACTCCAAGTCTGAGTCTTATCTTATCTTCCATTTTCCCTCCTCTGTTTTATTCATGCGTTCAAAAAGGCAGGAGTAGCAGATACTTCAAAGTATTGCTTCAAAAACCAATCGAAATATTACTCTGTTGTGGTCGGCCATGTTTTTTTTCTTCTTTATTTATATTTGCTAAAATGCATCTTATGCCATCTATTGGCTTATTACTTGCAATACTGCCACCTTCAGGACAAGTTTTCCTTCAAAAGACATTCCTATTAAGAGCAAAAGAAATAAGAATTAGAGCAAAGTGTTGTTTTACTGCAGATGAACACTGCCGTATATTTCCTGTCCTTATCATTACAATCTTTCTTTCCACTGAAGGTGTTAGCATAAATATAGTTCTGAAAAAAAACAAAAACATATTGTAGCAGTAAAGTTAAGATGTGAACTAATCAAAATGGAGTCACAAAAGGGGAAAAAAAAAAAAAACCCACTAAAATGAAGAGCCATTTCACAAACCAACCATGTTCCATTGTGCTATTGTATTAGCATAACATACATCTACACAAACCCATGCAATCCAACCTCGGAGAAGTGTTTCATAGACACACAAAGCGTGGTCACGCTTCCAGTGATCCACAGGAATTGGATTTCATGGGTGAAATAAAGAGGAGTGCATTTGTCTGTAAGGTTGGCTCCAGGAGCTTTGCACTTCCTGCTAAGGATACGTCCACAGGCAGCGTTTATTTCTCCAGTTAAACGGAGCTGTTGAGAAGGTCAGAGCGTGTGAAGATTAGAGAACAGCAGGGCTGGGTTTTTTCTTTTTTTCTTTGCAAATAATATAAACATTTGTATTTGGAAACTGCAGTAAAATGTATCAGTATTCTACAGACAACACTCACCTGTCAGTGTTCACTCTGAGTCAGTATGAAATACCTCTGCGCTCGTACTCATTGTTTCAGATTAGGTGTGACTTTTTCCTTTGATTGTTATGGAATTATAATGAATGTCAGAGCTCTGCAGACGTGTGCAGTTGGTAGCTGCACTCTGTCGACTCATCCCTCTGTGCTCTATTGATTTTCACGCCAGCCAGATAGAGTTTCTGCCATAGTAACATATTACATGTGCACCGATCAGAACAGCTTGTCTGGGAAGCGCATGCACAGGAGCACCGGCTCCAGTGTTACTGTACACAGGCCGGAGGCAGCCGGTGGTATTGACTCACATGGAGAAGACTGTCGTGTAGAAAAAAAAAAAAAAAAAACATTTATCAATGCATGTATTTGTATTTCATACCATTGTTTCCTCCTAAGTCTGCGCGACTGTGGCCTTACTTTGGTGAAAGAAAATGTAGCAGTAATTACTTAAAAAGTCGTTAAAGAAAAATGTTGTTAAAAGCAAATTGACAAAGTCAATAGTCAAATAGTCAGTATATTTATTCTATGTTTATATTGTGTTTTTTGTTCTTTTTTTTGTTTTGTTTTTTGTTACAACTGCAGCAGCTGCGTTGGGCATAAATAATGTTTTATTATTCTGTTTGGAACCTCACAGATAAACCTCACAGATAAAGGCGGTCAGAACAGGTTTCAGTGAAACAGAGTGTTTTACTGCTGCGTGAAACCTCACACATACACGTTCAAAAACAAACAAAAACACACACATATGTCTATGTTGATTTTATGTTTTCTGAGCGTTTCAGGTATATTACAGATGTAGCCAATCTTAATCTCTAATCTCACTGTAATCTAATTCCAAACCCAAGTCATGACATGAACGCTGTCTCCACAACAGCAGTATTTTTCTAAGAAAAGTCACACCAGGTACACACCAAACCAGCATAGACGCTAAACAAACAGAACAGGTTCACAATGACAACATATTCAATAGTGATAACTGCATTTTATTATTATTACTTTATTATAAAGATTTTTAATTTTAGGAAAAAAAAGTTTTTGGGTGTTCTCTGAACATTTTATAAATTTCATAGTTGATGAAAATAAAACGTCAAAAGTTGATGTTACTGAAAAAGTACAGACTCTAATCCAGCAGTTCCAGTGTCACAAGATTGACACATTTTTCCAATAAAATAACTTTATTGAAAATCTCTATTAACCCCTCAAGAGCAACAGTGCAAAACAGATTTTTTCTGTCAGTCTCCATCACCAGTTGGTGGGAAAAAAAATTAATCATTAGAAATGGGAGGAAAATGAGTTTCACGCATCATCCAATCTTTTAGATTGGAGAATCATAAATCCTCTTCTGTCTGTTAGAGATTATTCACAAACTGGACTTCAGCTCAGGTTCTGGTGAGGATCTCCAAGAGTCAGACAATAGCGTGCAGAAACCCAACTGTCTTTACATACAAGTTGGCTGTAAAACATTTAAAGATGGAGAGAGAGAAAAAAAATAGGATCAGTCTGGCCCCCCCCC